TGGGTGGCAGAGTGAGACCACTGTCTTAAAAATAAATAAATAAACTAACAAAATAAACACCAAGTTGCCTTTTAAAATTTTGTAGAACACAGCCTAATAAATGGCTGAATAGAGTTATTGACAAAATCCTTGTTATTTACAGAGTTTATTTGCATGATTTGGATCACCAATAAGAAGTCCCAATCTTAATTAACAATTTGGCAGGAAAATATATCTTTGTCTTTTCTATTGCTTTCTTCAGAATAATGTAAAGTCAACTATTTACAGTTAGATTTAAAAAATATGAGTTGGGTTGCTTCACAATCTAGTTATTTTTACTACTGCTAATATTTTACGTTTGTATGGTATCATTGGGGAGTCTACTTATTTCCCATAATACTTCTTGTTTTGTTTTGAGACAGAGTCTCCTTCTGTTGCCCAAGCTGGAGTGCAGTGGCTCCATCTTGGCTCACTGCAGCCTCTGCCTCCTAGGTTCAAGTGATTCTCCTGCCTCAGCCTCCTGAGTAGCTGGAACTACAGGCACGCGTCTCCATGCTTGGCTAATTTTTGTATTTTTAGTAGAGATGGGATTTCACCATATTGGCCAGGATGGTCTCCATCTCCTGACCTTGTGATCTGCCCGCCTTGGCCTCCCAAAGTGCTGGGATTACAGGATTACAGTGAGCCACTGCGCCAGCCTATTTCCCACAATACTATAATGGAGTAGGGCTGATGGTATCCTTTTTTATGGATAAGGAAACAATAACAGTGACTTTACTAGAATCCCACTCTTACTATGTAACAGAGCTGTATTTTTATGTTGGCTATTACAACTTTAAGATGGTCAAAGTTCCCAGATAAAATGTTTTGTTACTTCAATAAACCTTGGAAAATTTATGATTTTGTAACTCTGATACTTAGCAAAGGTGTGCAGTGGCAAATGGGACAAGAAAACATAAGCCCAGAGAGTTATTTGTAAATGCAAATGCATGTTTACAAATACATCTTAATGTACTTAACTTGTAAGTTAAGAAGAGTACTAAGATTTATTTCCATGATAAAGAGGAGGTGTTTAAATCAAACTGAACATCCGTGAATCTAAATATTCCATATGTACTTTAGCTCTGGATAGAGTTTAAGATCTAACTGAAAGGAATTAAGTACTTGAAAAATGATTTATTTTGAGTAACTAAATGTGGTACTTGACCCTAGACGGGGTCCTGGACTGCAGGATGGAAAAAAAGGATAATAGGTAAATATTATGGATAATTTTAGTCAATGAATTTGACAATTTAGATGAAATGGACAAATGGGTAAATTCCTTAAAAACTATGAAAGCTTACTCAAGAAGTGATAGATAATCTGAGTGTGTGTGTGTGTGTGTGTGTATGTGTGTGTGTGTGTGTGTGTGTGTGTGTGTGTATCTATACCTGTATATATAAAGACCTTATATTTTTAGTTAAAAACCTTGCCACAAAGAAAACCCCAAGCCAATTGTTTTATTGGTGAATTTTGTTACTCAATGAAGGAAGAAATAATACAGATTTTATACAAAATCTTCCAAAAAGTACAACAAGAAACAGTAAGTATTTCCTAACTCATTGTCTGATACCAAAACCAGAGAAAGGTACAAGAAAAGGAAATTATCATCTCTTATCTTTCATAAACTTTGCTGTAAAAAAATGGAAAAATTTTAACCAAGACCAACAATATATAGAAAGAATAATACTTAATGACTAAGTGGGGTTTATTCTGGGAATGTAAGATGCTTTTAACATTTGAAATTTGATCAATGTCATTTATCACATTAACAGGCCAAAATAGAAAAATCAGATGGTCATAATTATCTCAGTAGATGCAACAAAAACTATTTGACAAAATCCAACATCCATTCATGATTTAAAGCTGTCAGCATATTAGGAGTAAAAGGAAACTTCCTCAGCCTAACTGAGGGAATCTACAAAAACCTGGAAAAGTGACAGCTTTCATCCTAATATTGGAAACAAGGCAAGGATTTCTGCTGTAACCACTTCTATTCAACATCATACTGGAGATCCTAGATAATGCAAAATGTGTAAGATGTAAATAAAATACATAAAGATTGACAAGAAGTATGACTGTCATTATTCATAGGTAACATAATTATTTTTTTCTATGTTAAAGGATGTAAAGTTAAAACCATATACACAAAAGCCATCATAACAGTTGATCAGTGTTGCAGGGTACAGGGTCAATATAGAAAAATCAATGTTGATTTAAGAATTAACAGGGAGAAATAGATATGAAAAATAACAGTACAATAGTACCAAAAATGAAATTTGTAAAGATGGGATTTAAAAATGATGTACAAGACCTATCCATTTGAAACTGCAGATCCTTCATTCTTTAATTAGGGAAATAAAAGAAGATCTAAATAAATGGAGAGTTATACTGTATTCCTGGAAAGAGAGACTAAGTATTGTTATCAGTTCTTCCCCAATTGGTCTGTTTATTTAACTGTTCCAAACAGAATGTCATCATGCTTTTTTATAGATATTGACATTTCTTCTGCAGCTTCCTTACCTACCTCTCTCAGCCTTCATAGAATTGAAGAGAAGTAGGGTCTTAACTCTAAATTAGGCTTTGGCTTGAGGAAATGTGGCTGGTTTGATTTTCTAAACAGACCACTCACATTTTCTTCATATCAGCAATAAAACTGTTTCACTTTATTATCATTCATGTAGTCAGTGGAGTAGCACTTTTAATTTTCTTCAAGAACTTTTCCTTTGCATTTACAAACTGGATAACTGGAACAGGAGGCCTAGCTTTCAGCCTATCTTGGCTTTCGAAATGCCTTCTTCACTAAGCTTCATCATCTCTAACTTGAGTTAAAATGAGAGACATGTGACTCTTTCTTTCACTTGAATGCTTAGGAGGCCTTTGTAGGGTTATTAATTGGCCTAATTTCAATTTAGTTGTGCTTTGGAATAAATAGCAAGGTCCAAGGAGAGGGAGAGAGATGGGGGATGACCAGTTGGTGGAACAGTCAGAACACACACAACCTTTATTAAGTTTGCTGTTTTATATGTAATTGTTTCAAAACAATTATAATCATAACATCAAAGATCAGTGATCATAGATCAACTTAACTGATAATAGTAATTAAAAGGTTTGAAATAATTGCAAGAATTAAAAAATATGACAGACATGAAGTAAGCAGATATTGTTAGAAAAATGGCACTAATATACTTAATGCTGGCTTGCCTCAAACTATCAATTTGTAAAAATAAATCTGCAAAGAGCAATAAAGTAAAGCACAATAAAATCTGGTATGCCTGCATCTAGAATATATTAAAAACGCTTATGATTCCATAACAAGAAGATAATCTAATAAAAAAATTAAATCCATACAAATGGTAGGTGAGTAAGCCTATGGAAAGATACTCGATGACATTAATCATTAGGGAAATTATATTAAAATCACAACAAGCTACCACTACACACCCACTACAGATAAAGTTTAAAAGATTGACAATGCCAGGTGTTGCTGAGGATTAGAGCCACCGAAACTCTCATATGCTGCTGGTAGGAATGTAAAAAGGTCCAACAATTTGGAAAACAACGAGTTTGTCATTTTCTGAAAAAGTTAAACATGGCTGGGCACAGTTTCTCACACCTGTAATCCCAGCAGCTTTGGGAGAGTTTTCTAAGATGAAAAGTTCTGGAGATTGGTTGTACAACACTGTGAATATATTTAACACTACCGAAGTCTGTACTTTAAAATGTCTAAAATGGTAAATGTAATGTGAATTTTTTAACAATTAAAAAAAAATCCCCAAACCCAAAATGTTTTATGTTCAAGGAACAGTATTATGTCTCAGTCCTGGGCAAAGTGAGATAAGATGTAGCCTTATGGAGACCTGTAACTTTAAAAATAGATGTTCCTTAAAAGGTAAATCTTTTTGAACAGATGATGATAAACCTGGAGGATAAATTTAGAATATAGATATTTTTGCATTTCTTCCTCTTCATATTCTGAGGGAATTTTAAGTAGTTGGCCCAACAAAATGCTCTTGAAGCAAAATTGGAAACAAAAAATCTCATGTGCTATAAAGGTAACTAATCTAAGTTTCTTCAGGGACCAGAACACCATGCAAATATTGGTTTTGAAAATAACATCATAAAGGTTATCTCCAACAGGAAAATACAGCTGGGTCAGGTTTATTATTAGGTGTACTCTAGTCCTTTTTTCACTGGGACCTCTATGTTGTCTGTAGAGTAGAAAAGGTCCAATGTCTAAAAGAATCCTAGTAATCAAAAGAGCAAGTCTTGAAGAACTGTAACTGGGAAATCAGTACACACCCTTACTGGCTAGCAGGCAAGCAAATAAAAATGGACATAAATTTAAGGTACTGTAATATTACTGAAGCACTAAAAAGATTACTGTTAAAAGTTCAAAACTTTCAGAGTTGGGTACTTTTATTTACACATTTCTAATGGAATTGTAAATTGGTTTGGTAATTTGAAGAATTTTTTCACAATCTTTGAACCTTTGATTCTACATTAAGAATTATATTTAAGGAAATAACAAATATATTCAAAATTATTTTACATTCACATTGATAGTTTAGCATTTAATGTTCATTAGGTTGTTCAGTGAAAATAAATGAAATTTACTTTTTTAAAAAATTAAGGTTAGTGATTATTACTGTAATCAGAAAATAAAAAGTTGATTTATAGTAGCAGGAAAGAGGGGAGGGAATATGCTATATGGCAAGTAAAGATTCTCTCTGTAAGTTAGCTATGAGATACAAAATAGCCTCTATTCACTAAAGAATTTTTGTACTTTATAGAATATCTTTGATAATTTAGTTGACCCTTGGTTCTCAGAAAATCAGTGGCTTGTAATTTGACCTTCTGCTCTGTTGTGTTTTCTTTTTTATTATCTGCTTGACTTTAATGAGTATTTTTCCAATGTTTCATTTGTTTTTTCAAGGTATTTTGTTATCCTTTCTTTCCATGATGTGATTCTTCATGCCAAGAAGAAAAAGATGTGTCTGTAGTTAAAATTACCTCATCTTTGGTGTTTTTCAGCTTAGGATCACTATGTGGAACTAATGCTATTACATTACAAGTAAGACAAGTTCCAATACTGTTTTTTTCCCCCTGATCTGCAGATATTCACCAACAATAGCAAATTACAGACTGGCTTCGAAAGCAACCCATGTTCAGTTTGATCTTGGCAGTTTAATGGTATATTCCTTTATAGTATTATTTAAATGCTTTATATTGCTTTTTCTTCCTTATGTATTTGTAAGTTCATTAGCTCTGTGATGAAATTACAGAGAACTTGATACTCTCTATATTACCCCAGCACCCATGCATGTGATGTGTGCACAAAACAATTTTATTGAATGGATAAAATGTAACCTCTTTGATTGATTCAGGAAACTAAAATAAAATGTTTTTAAATAAGTAGAAATTTTCTGAAGCACAGGTGAAATTTAACTTCATATGATTCTGCCAAATGTGATAGAATGCATGTTTCCTGCTTAATGTAATAATAGTCAAGAGAGCCAGAATACCCCTGAGGTGATTACCAAAGTAGAAAGAAAAAAAAAAATCACAAACATTTAAATAAATTAAATCAATTCACAAACATCTAAATAATTATAAATTATTTAAATAATTAAAAATGCCTTATTAGCAATGATTGTCATATGGACAACCAAGAGTTGCATGAGTTATATTTTCTGTCTTCTTGTAGGATTTGACTTGGTTGAACACTCTTTTTAGGGCTGATTTAATTTTTTATTTGTTCTTTGGTCCTGTGTTAATTTTTATGAGCTTATTATGCACTTAAATTCATTATAGTTTATTTGTTTCAATTACTTATTATACTTGAACTTTTTCTTTTTCGTTGGATGTACTTTATTATGTATTTGATTTCAGTATTATGTCACATTATTAAATAATGCTTATTGTTACCACCACAAGTGAAAGTAAAGTTGTGAGTTATATAATAATTAAAAATATATGTGAAAATACGTACGTGAAATATGTGAAAATACATAGGATTGCATTAAGATTTAGCTCAATTTAATGTTGTTCCCTCTTTCAGCCATTCTTGAAGACTAATTAGTTACACTGGACATGCTGCTGTTCTTTGCTTTGGGATTGCTTGTACATTTTGTGTTCTTTGCCTCCATCTTTGATATTTATTTTACATCTCCTCTGGTTCATGGAATGACTCCTCAGTTTACACCATTGCCTCCTCCAGCGAGAAGATTAGTGTTGTTTGTTGCTGATGGCCTTCGAGCAGACGCACTTTACGAATTAGATGAAAATGGAAACTCTAGAGCACCGTTTATTAGGTGAGCATGTAAACAGATACAGAGATATCTCTTAAAATATCATTCTGAGTTAAGTAAATGATGATAAAATAGTTGAGATGATGATGATAAAATAGTATAAAGCCCTTCCAAGTCTATATCACTGTTTAGTGTAACTTGGGCTTCTATTAAGCGGCATTTCAACTACACAAAAGTTGAAAGGACTATATGATAAAAAGAAATATTTAATTTATTGGACTTACAAGGTGCCTGCAAACAGTTGCTCTTTTTCTGATTAGAGGCAACTCCTGAAAAGCCTTCTAATGTTGTTGTGGAGAGATTAAAATCAAATTCTAGAGGAAATTTCTCTAAAATATTCTGTCTTCCCCCATCCCCATCTGTCATCATGACCTCCTATCACTTTACTCTGTTTTATTTTTCTTTATAGTACTTAACATAGTGAAAGTTCCATGAGAGCTGAGACTTACCCACTACTTTATCTCCAGTTCCTATAGCATAATGGGCAACTATCAAATATTTATTGACAGCTAGAAGAGTGGATGAACTTGAATGTTGTGTTGAATTTTCAGAAATAAATTTATGATGGCTCAAAGAAATGCATAACATATTGAGGAATAGAAATAAATAAATGAGTGACTCAAGTTAATAGGGGCACACTGAGGGAAAATAAGATCAAACCAAGGTTAAGTACAGTACACAAAAATGTGTAACAAATTTCTATCAATAATTAAAATATTTAGGGGAATTTCTTAGTTGCCAGAGAGAGAAATATACTTCATTTCAAAATTAAGAGGATAAAAATATATGGGTAAAATAAAGTCAAGTTTTTTTTGGTGCCACTTGTTTCTCCTTAGAGTCTTAATAAAGGAAATTCTGTGGGCTCAAACAGTTGCTGTTTTGTGTGGTGTGCCATTGTATATTTACAATTTCAGGAATCCCCTAGTTTCTAAGCTTGTTTTTGAAAGGTTTTGTTTCTTAAAAATGTGATTTAAACTAATGCTTTTAAATAGAGTATTCACATTTTTTTATACCTCCCCTTTCTGTTTAAGTCCAGTTTTTATCATATAGCTCAAGAAGTTGAAGAATATTTCTGTTATATTTGGTTCAGTGTTTTTGAAACTGTTTACTTATTATGTATGTATTTTGCCAAAACTGCTTTTATCATTAGGTAAGTCAATCATAAAAGAACTGACACCAGTACATATTTTTTTCAGAATGTATTGAGAGGCAGATATTTATCTTGAAAAATATTATTGATAAGTTTACTATTTCATAACTTACTGCTCTGCTGGCCTTTCACCTGTAATGCATCACTTGTAGTTTTGCTTTCTTCCCCAAGTTATGCAAATCACTGTGATACAACTTAAATAATGTTGACACCTTTTAGCAAAAGAAACTTTTTGCTTGTTTTAATCTCAAATTGGGGGATATAATGGAACTCCAAATTAGTGGTGTAGCTATTTTCCCTCCCCTTAGTTTTTCATTTTAAGAATTTTTCAACTACACAAAAGTTGAAAGGACTATATAATAAACATTTGTATACCCTTAACCTAGTTTGACAATCTTAACCTTTTTTCATAATTGCATTCACTCTCTCCTGCCCCCTCCACTACCCCCACCACAGGGTGCCCATGTGCACCTAGTTTTTTTTTTTTAAATTGTTTTATTTTATTGTACTTTAGGTTCTGTGGTACATGTGCAGATCATGCAGGGTTATTGCATAGGTACTGACATGGCAAGATGGTTTGCTGCCTCCATCCCCACCGCCTGTCACCTACATCTGGCATTTCTCCTCATGTTATCCCTCCCCAACCTCCCCACCCCCACTGTCCCTTCCCTAGCCCCCCCACTCAACAGACCCTAGTGTGTGATGCTCCTCTCCCTGTGTCTGTGTGTTCTCATTGTTCAACACCTGCCTAAGAGTGAGAACATGTGATGTTTGATTTTCTGATCCTGTGTCAGTTTGCTGAGAATCATGGTTTCCAGATTCATTAGTGTCCCTACTAAGGACACGAACTCATTGTTTTTTATGGCTGCATAGTATTCCATGCTGTATATGTGCCACATTTTCCTTGTCTGATCTATCATCAGTGGGCATTTGGGTTGGTTCCAGGTCTTTGCTATTGTAAACAGTGCTGCAGTGAACATATGTGTGCATGTGTCTTTATAATAGAACGATTTAGAATTCTTTGGGTATATACCCAGTAATAGGATTGCTGGGTCAAATGGAATTTCTGTTTCCAGGTCCTTGAAGAATCACCACACTATCTTCCACAATGGTTGAACTAATTTACACTCCCACCAACAGTGTAAAAGTGTTCCTACTCTCCAGCATCTGTTGTCTCCAGATTTTTTGATGATTGCCATTCTAACTGGCATGAGATAGTATCTCATGGTGGTTTTGATTTGCATTTCTCTAATGACCAGTGATGAACATTTTTTCATGTTTTTTGGCCTCATATATGTCTTCTTTTGAAAAGTATCTGTTCCTATCCTTCGCCCACTTTTAAATGGGTTTGTTTTTTTCTTATAAATCTACTTTAGTTCTTTGTGATTCTGGATATTAGCCCTTTTTCAGATGGGTAGATTGCAAAAAATTTTTCCCATTCTGTTGGTTACCGATTCACTCTAATGATCGTTTCTTTTGCTGTACAGAAGCTCTGAAGTTTAATTAGATCCCATTTGTCTATTTTGGCTTTTGTTGCCATTGCTTTTGGTCTTTTAGTCATTAAGTCCTTGCCTATGCCTATGTCCTGAATGGTTTTGCCTAGGTTTTCTTCTAGGATTTTTATGGTGTTAGGTCTTATGTTTAAGTCTTTAATCCATCTGTAGTTTATTTTAGTGTAAAGTGTCAGGAAGGGGTCCAGTTTCTGCTTTCTGCACGTGGCTGTTTCTGTGCTGGAAATTCATGGCGCTTTTTGGCCTGGGAACATCCTGGTCTGTGGGCTGTAAAAACTGCGGTAGAGGTGAAGTATCTGAACTGGAGTGCTGTGGTGTATGGTAAAGCCCCCGATGGCCTCTGTTGGGTAGGGAGGGGGGTCCTCCAGGGACTGCACTTCCCAGGTCAGGCAGTGCCCCACCCTGCCTAGGCTCACCCTTCCTGGGCTGCACCACTGTGCCACCAGTCCCACTGAGACGCACCTGGTACCTCGTTTGGAAATGCAGAGATAACTCACCTTCTGTGCAGCTCTCGCTGGGAACTACACTCCAGAGCTGTGCCTACATGGCCATCTTGCTGTGCCCCTATGCACCTAGTTTTAATTATTTTTTCCTTGACAGTTTGAAAGCAAGAAACTTTATCCCAAATACTTCAGCCTATATCTCTTAAGAATAAGGTGCTTCTCCTAAATAGCCATAATACTATCATTACACTTAATGCAATTTAACATTCATATAATATTGTATGTTTTATCTGTATATAATAAACCATATCAATATTTTGTGGTTTAAAACAACAGTCGTGCATTTTGTCAGCTGGTTCTGTGCAGTGGTTGAGTGATTCTTTGTTAGTCGTACGTCAGCGAATTCATGCTGCTGCATTCAGCTGGTAGATGCACAGAATGGGTTCAACTGGGATTTGAAAGATTCCTTTCCTTCTTAAGTTTTGACTGAACTTTTTGCTTTTGATTCCTTCTGTAATTATCTTATTTTCCTAAAGCTTTATGTGAGAGTATCTAATAACAGTCTATGTTAACTGTTTGTGTTTAATCTCTTTTAGGAATATAATAATGCATGAAGGCAGCTGGGGCATATCTCATACACGTGTGCCAACAGAATCTCGGCCAGGTCACGTAGCCCTGATAGCCGGGTTTTATGAAGATGTCAGTGCAGTTGCCAAAGGTATTGTCTATTTGGATAATCTTATTAAATGAAAAATTTGTCAAATAAATATTACTGCTTTACCACTGAATTACGTCCCTAAGTGAAGGTATGTTTTGAGATACTTTGGACAAATGTTTTAGCATGCCTTACTGACATGAACACCCACTGGTATTGACTCCAGAATGAAGCTTTAGTATTTCATTAACCTGTGTTAGTTAAAGAGTTTGGGTTGGATGGAAGCATAATTTTCCTAGATATTACTCTTGAAAGTTCAAAAATGGTTGTATGTTTCCATACAAAGTAAATTATCTGTTGTTTTTAGTGGTATAATATGCATAATACAAAATCTATTATTGGTTTTGCACTTTGTTCTCTGACTAATGTAATTATTATTTGAAGAATACTTCTTTAGGAGCTTATTGTACCATGTATATATTACCATTATTGCTTTCTTTCTTTTTGAAGGATGGAAGGAAAATCCTGTAGAATTTGATTCTCTTTTTAATGAAAGTAAATACACATGGAGCTGGGGAAGCCCAGATATTCTGCCTATGTTTGCCAAAGGTAAGAGTCATTGATTATATTCCTCAGGTAGGGAATAAGACAATATGGTAGTTTTCTATATATTATTTACCTACTCTATTTGTTGATTTTTATATATATTTTCACATTTTTAACATTTCTGAAATAGGAATGTTTAATTACAATGAATAGATGTGTCAGTTTAACTGGCAATTTTTTTTTCTTCTTAGTTATACTTGGAATATTTGCACATCATACAGTTAGATAGTATTTTGGATTCAATTAAATGGTATATAGCTCTATCAATTAAGAACTTTATAATCTTGAGCAATTTAGATAACCTCTCTGAGCTTCAAGTTTCTTTTTGTAAAATGTGATAATATTAGTTTCTATCCCATACATTTCTTTTTAGAATTAATTTATATAATTCATGTGAAATATTTAGCATAGCACTTATCACATAATTTTATTATAATGATGATGTTGATGTGTGGTTCATTATACTTTGGTAAATTGTTTTAAAAGTTAGTGGATATTGATATAAAGATTTAAACATTGGCTGAGCATAGTGGTTCACACCTGTAATCTCAGCACTTTGGGAGGCTGAGGCACGTGTATCACTTGAGCTCAGGAATTCAAGACCAGTCTGGGCAACATGGCGAGACCCCCAATCTCTACAGCAAACAAAAAATTAGCTGAACATGGTGTCATGTGCCTGTAGTCCTAAATACTCAGGTGGCTGAGGTGGGAGGAACGCTTGAGCCTGGGATGTTGAGGCTGCAGTCAGTCATGATCACGCGACTGCATTCTAGCCTGGGCAACAGAGCAACATTCTGTCTCCAAAAAAAAAAAAATTTAAATGTTAAAATGTATGGTTATAATTCCCATATTATTATATTGAATATGCCATATGTTTTGGCATATGATATATATGGCATTTAACATATAATTTATTTAAGTTGATATTTAATATATTGAATATGGCATTTAAATTTGTTTATATGCATAATTCTGCAAATATTGGGACATCTCTTAATTAGAAAATTCATTTATATTATTTTCTAAAATCAGTTGGATGAATTTCATGTCATTAAATGCTTTTAAGTGGGAGAAGAACGATTGATCATTTCACTTATCTGAAAGGATTTGTAATATACTTAGTCATGAGTGTAATTAAAATAATGGGAACTATTAAAGATTATTATATGTCCAGAAAGCAAAATATAAATTGAAAATTTTATGTATGAAAGTCATATTACATTTTTTTTTTTTGAGTCGGAGTTTCGCTCATTACCCAGGCTGGAGTGCAATGGCGCGATCTCGGCTCACGGCAACCTCCGCCTCCTGGGTTCAGGCAATTCTCCTGCCTCAGCCTCCTGAGTAGCTGGGATTACAGGCACCCGCCACCATGCCCAGCTGAGTTTTTGTATTTTTAGTAGAGACGGGGTTTCACCATGTTGACCAGGATGGTCTCCATCTCTTGACCTCGTGATCCACCTGCCTCGGCCTCCCAAAGTGCTGGGATTACAGGCGTGAGCCACTGCGCCTGGCCCCAGTCATAGTACATTATTATACTGGGTGGACCAAAAAAACCCTCAAACTGTTTGCCATTTATATATCTCCTTCTTTGGAAAGCAGTTTAGTTTTTTGGGGGGCTGGTGGTAGTAAGGGTGAATTGAGTTGCTATGGCTTATCAAACTAACCTTCCTATTTCTGGCTACAATGGATGGGACAGGCCTAATACTTGAATTAGAAATAGTCTAATAGGAATGTTTCATTTCTTATAGAAACCAGCAAAACCAGTCAGACCTTTTTATTTGGGATGTGGGAAGTAAAATGGCTGAGGAGTGGAATGGGGTCATTAGAGCTGAACTGGTGCTATAAAGTTTGTATTAGTTTATTATATCTCTTTCTTATTACCTGCAAGAGCCTATCAAACGCAGAAATTCAACAAACTGATTAGATTCCTAATACAGTCCTACAAATGTATGAGATTATGATAACTGTTGACCCCTTCAAACTCTTTGGCAATAAGCAATATTTATTCTAAGTTGAGAAAAATATGCATAGTGTATGAATAATAGAAGTGAAATATTTGGATTTTCTTCTTATGTTAAGAAGGTTTGTACACCACACATCTTCATTTACTTTAGATGGTAACATTCTAAGGGGTACACATGTTTTGAATAGTTTAATCCTTAAAGGGAGACAAATATTGTGCTTATTTTTGTTCTATTGCTTATTAGAGTTGTGATTTGGGCATGTTAGTTAACATATAATGGATCTGCAAAATTAAAATATGTTATTTTTGAGGGCAAAGGGCCTAGAATATATTAAAGTATGTAGCACGGTCCATAGCACATAAAATAAATAAGTGTTCATGATTCCTCCCGTTTTTCTCTTCCCCATCATGTAATGCTTTGTGAAAATTCTGGTTATTCACAAAAATCTGTGACTGAGTAGCTCCTATTTTATGATAGTTTAAAAGATTTTGTAAAACATATTTTTTCCAAATTTCCTTTTCAGGTGCTAGTGGAGACCACGTTTACACATATAGTTATGATTCTAAGAGACAGGATTTTGGTGCTCACGATGCAACAAAACTGGATACGTGGGTTTTTGATAATGTTAAGGTTTGTGCTATTGAGTGGTTAATATACAAAAACATATTTTTACCTGAAGTATTCGAGTCTGTATCTCTAGTTTTTTCTGCTTGCATGAGCTTTGAAAATTCTATATTGTAGCACATTGTTCTGAATTCTAAGACTTAATTCTAAGAACTTACACATTCTAGATAAACAAGAGAAGTTTTAAAAGTCTTTGTTTCTATTATTAAGATGAGCCCTAGATTAGGATTCAGGAAACCTGTGTTCATTTCTAGTTTGTGATTCATCATGGGTAAATTTTGATCTTTCATTGACCATGGAATCTCTCTCTTGCAATAATGGACCATGTGAAATGTGTGAAAGCCCTTGGAAAAATGTTGTTCAAATGTAATACATCAATAACAAAGTGGATTTTTTTTTTAAATGATACTTTAAAGAAAAAGTAGATAAGTAGATTATATAGGCAAAAAATTAGCAAATTAATCAAAATAAAAATCTATGATTTCTTTAAGTACTAGAGTTTTTTGAACATTTTATAGTGACAATTATAGTTTCATCAGGAATACAGTAGAATTTATATTCTCAAAAATTGTGTGAAAATCTCAACTGTGGGCATTGGCTTTCTTTTATCAGTCCATTGTTCCTCATCTCCAAATAACAACTCATAATTCATCCGTTATAAGAAGCTTTCTTTGATTGATACTTCTTTTTTCTAGTAGTGTCTTTTAAACTGACTTTGTGGACTTCTCCATGATATAGACATTTTTGTTTGTTTGTAAATGTTCTTCTCAGTATATATGTGCGTTTTCTTTGTATTTCCATACCAGAAATTAAGTGCTCTAAAATTTATTGCTAAACCCTATTTTTTAAAGGATCTTTTCACTTGAAATTTTCTTTTCACTTTTAATACATACTTTTGTCAACAGGAAAAACTTTCAACTTAAATAAAATATTTTTAAGACAAATATTAGCAAATTATTTTGCTAATCATCACTTCTTAATATAATATACTAATATTAATATCTGCATGAAAGCCTTTGGCTTCTGATTTCATATGTGTAGCTAAAATCTCCCCAAAATCATGTAATTAATTCCTTGTGAATGTACATACGTAGCTGGTGGCTGGCCTGATTTTCATGTCTTTCTTCCTTTCTTTCAGTACTACTAGTCTTGACACAGTAGTGAACATAAAAAAAGATTTACACATGACTTCTTTGTAAAATATGGTAGAGATATATATTAACCAAGTAGTAATGAAAATATGAAATCATCAACAGTGGTAAGTGATGTGAAGGAAAAATACAGACCAAAAATATATCTTCAGAAAATTCTAATCTAGACTGGGCAATTAGGGGAAGGCTAAGAGTTTTGAGATAATCTCTGAAGAGGTATAGGAGACAAAGAAATGGGTAGGGTTGGATTGGTGTGGAAAAGTATTGCAGGCCAGCAGCGCTATGTAAATCTTAGTCAAGAGCCAACATAATGGATTTGAGGAAGTAAAAGAAGGGAGGTTAGTGTGGCAGGAGGACTGCCTGGGAGCCAGGTCTCAGAGGAGGCTAGAGAGTCAGTTATGGGTTTTACTTGAACTTCTTGTCCTGGCTAGAGACTCATGCTTAATTCAAGCCAGACTGTTTCCAGATTCATGCAGTTTTCTAATCACTTTTTTTTGTAACTGGTAAAAAAATACATGCAAAATACAGAATTTACTATCTTAAGCATTTTAAGTGTTTGCAGACAGTTCCAGCTTAACAATATTTAACTTATGATTTTTCAACTTTCCACTAGTGCAAAAGCAATACATATTTACTATAAACCATACATTGAGTATGCATACAACCATTTGGTTTTTTACTTTCAGTATAGTACTCAAGCATTACATGAGATAGTAATTATTATCTCACTTATCTCACATTATCAACACTTTATTAAAAAGTAGGCTTTATGTTAGATGATTTTGCCCAACTGTAGGCTAATGTAAATGTTCTGAGCACATTGAAGGTAGTGTAAAACAAAAATAAAATTCTAACCCTCCCTTACCCCAACCACCTCAATGGACTTTCTCAGCCAGGATGCTGTTAAAATATAACCTGAGAAACTGGTTAAGGCCATGAGGGGAAGTGGCGGTCAGATATGCCCTTTTATATCTCTCTGGTATTAACATCGATTCAGAACTTAAAGTCTGATAAGAAACATTTTATAGCTTATTCTCTCTGAAGCCTACTACCGAAGGCTTCCTCTGCAAATAAGAACTTCGGTTTCCACAGACTCTTATCTTAACCCAGACATTCCTTTCTTTTGATCCCAGGTCTTTAGAGAAACTCAACCAATTGCCAACCAGAAAATGTTTAAATTTTCCCCCCAATACCTGCTTTGAGTTGTGCCGCCTTTCTGGACCAAACCAATGTATTTCTTAAATGTATTTGTTTGAAGTCTCCTGTCTCCCCAAAATGTATAAAACCAAGCTGTACCCTGACCACCTTGAGCACGTTCTCAGGATCTCCTGAAGGCTGTGTCATGGGCCATGGTCACTCATATTTGGCTCAGAATAAGTCTCTTCAAATACTTTACAGAGTTTGACTCTTTGTTGACAGTAGGCCAGGCTAAGCTATGATGTTTGGTAGGTGAAGTATGTTACTAGCGGCAGGTATCCGAATTACTGACAACAAATCTGTGAGGGTCAGCAGCAACCTAAGTTCTTACCTCCACAGAAGAAAGACTTCTACTGAGGGGCATAAGGCAGAAGAAGAGACCAAGGCAGGAGTGGAAGTTTATTTGCAAATGTTTTAGAATAGAAAAGAAAGGAAAGTATGCCTAGAAGAGTCCCAAGTGAGCTTTGAGGTCAAATGTAGTGTTTAACCTTGATCCTAGGACTTTATAGGCTGGCCCCTTTCCATAATTCTTCGCTTAGGGTGGAGCACCCTCAAGGGCAGTTCTATTCTTAACCTTGGGAGGTGAGCGTGCACAGTGCGTTTAGGAAGTTGTATGCATACCCGTCTGAGGCTTTCTTTCCTTTTCTGGTGGAGTGCCCCTGATGGGCATACTATGCCATTTTGTCTCTTAATGCACATGCGTAGGAAGTTGCATCTCTCTGGTGCTTGCATTCAGTTAACACTTTAGTGCAGCAGGTGTGGGCCCTCAGGAAATGGCCTCTCTCTGATGCCAGCTACCAGTTTACCACTTTTAGAGAGGCAGTGTAATAACTGCTGAATCATCACCCGTCATTCCTAGTGGGTTGGGGAAGAGCCCTCTCTTGCCCCACTCATGCCTGTCTAACTACCTGTAACAGGTATATTACATGCATTTTTGACTTATAGTAGTTTCAATTTGGGATGGGTTTGTTGGGATATAACCCCATTGTAAGTAAGGAACATCTATAATTTAGTAGTATTAAGTATATTCACATTATTGTGCAACCAATCTCTAGAATTTTTTCATCTTGCAATACTGAAACTCTGTACATATTAAACAATAACTCTTCCTTTCCCCTTCCCCCAACCCCTGGCAACCACCTTTCTACTTTCTGTTTCTATATATTTGACTACTCTAGGCACCTTATATCTTAAGTGGAAGAATACAGTCTATGCCTTTTTGTGGCTGGCTTATTTCACTTATTATAATGGCCTCAAAGCTTCACCTGGGTTGAATCTATTCACTTTTAAAAACTCAGTTCCTGCATCATCTCCTCTATTAGGTCTTCTGTGACTTCCCTTTGCTTTATCCTATTTCCATTTCAACTTAGATAACCCTCCTCTAGATTCCCTTAATACTTTATTGTGCTATGCTATAATTGTTCATACATTGACATATCCCCTTCAATATACATCTTGGTGGTAGAGATACTGACTTTTTCACATTGTAAACTTCAAACTCCTATCAGAAGCTAGGGGCTCATGCCTGTAATCCCAGTATATTGGGAGGCCAAAGTGGGTGGATCTCTTGAGGCCAGGAGTTAGAGACCAGCCTAGCCAACATGGTGAGACCCTGTTTCTACTAAAAATATAAAAAAAAATTAGCCGAGCATGATGGTGCATGCCTGTAATCCCAGCTACTCGTGAAGCTGAGGCATGAGAATCACTTGAACCCAGGAAGTGGAGGTTGCAGTGAGCTGAGATTGTGCCGTTGCACTCCAGCTTGGGCAATAGAGACTCTGCCTCAAAAAACAAGACTCCTATCAGGGAATTGTTTGGTACATATATAAGTATATTAACATAAATTAGATCATATCTGTGTAACAGGGGAAAAATGACTTCAAAGTTTACTTCTAGCTTAGTAAAAATAATGCCAGCAGTAGGCAGCCGAGTATTGATGCAGTCCAGGATGCTATAGTGGTTCCACAATGTCATTGACATTCAGTCTCCTAAAATTTTCCTCTACCCTCAGGGTGTGAGTTTTCTCTTCAAGGTTATTGTATGACCCAAGATAATCTCAGAGTTCCCGCCCTTATGTTAGTGTTTTAGGTCAACAATATGAAGAATAAAAAAGGACCTTCTCTTCTACTGAATTACATTTATTTCAAAGAGCCTTAGATCTACATAGCTTTATGACTGAAATGTCTGACTTAAATCTCATTGGCCAAAACCACAAAGGCACATCTAGCTGCAAGAAAGGATAGAAAATGTTCATTCAAATATGAATGAACAGCACTTTTTACATAGCTGAATATATTGTACCAGTCATGAAACAAATTATAGATGTCATTCAAGTCATTTGCTCAGTTTTTTGTTTTTGTCAGCTTTCAATTATATATTTAAATTGTAATTCTTTTCTCTTAAAGAACTTTTCATTTTGGGGGTTAAGTAGAAAGTATATGAAAGTTAGGGGGCAATTTTATAATTTTGAGAAGGATGAGAGCACATTGCGTGTTATATTTGTTGATTTCTATTCTTGAATAGCTAGTTTCTCTAATTGCACAATTTGTATTTTTTAACATAATGAAGAATTATTTGAAAAAAAAACTTAAATACTTCAGACTTTTTAAACATCTTTTGTTAAAAGTTTATGTCTTCTACAGTTAAAGGCATTTATGTGAACAACAAAGATGTATCTTGGATAGCCTGTTAATTTATTTAAAATAATTTAAAAGTAGTCTTCATAGTTTCACATCCATGTTCATGCATATGTGAATACAGGGTGAATCATTTGCCTTAGAAGGGCTTTATGAATCTAGTATGTCATTAAATTAACATAATAATGTTCAAATTTTATTTTAATTATTCCCAGTCTCACTCTGCCAAATAGTATTTTATTTTATTAATTGTATGCTTTTCTGTTACATGATTTGAAGAATACATTCTATTTGGGGCAAAGGAAGTAATTAGGAGGCTATTTGCAATGTTCTAAATTAGAGACTAGGTTGTTAGTACACAGGACAATGAGAAGTGGTTCAATTCTGAAATATTTTAAAATAACAAATCATTCTTAAACTGATAACACCATTACTATTTTATTTTTGGCTCTTGCCAAAATGTCTTCAATCTGCTGTATTTTATTGAGTTAGATATGGGATGAACATTGTGAGATCTCTATGAAATTATGATCCCCTTTCTAACACCTTTTTTTTTTTGGCTTTATGATAACACAGAAAACAGCTAATTGATTATTTGAACATAGATGTCTGAATAGCAAAGACTTTGTGTTGGTAGGTCTTGAACACAGATTTAAGCAATGTGAGATAATTTAATTTTGTACTTATGTGTAAATTCAAATGTTTTCATCAGTTTTATTTTTAAAATAAAACAAATAAACTAAATATTTTTAACTCATTTGTTATATGTAGGACTTCTTTCATCATGCCAGAAACAACCAGTCTTTGCTTTCTAAAATAAATGAAGAGAAGATAGTTTTTTTCTTACATTTATTAGGAATAGATACAAATGGACATGCTCATCGACCATCCTCAAGGTAATTTAATGCTGTTTTTAATTGCATTTTTTAAGGGAAACAGCTATTTTATTAAACTTTTAAAGTATTATAATGTTTTCTTTGGACAGAACTAATATTTTAAGTAACTGCTGTAATGTATATTAAGTTCTCAATTATATGAGATTTCTGATATAGTGGTTAAAATGATATGTACTGTATCCAGATGGCACATTAATATAAGTAAAATATATTCTGTATATATTCCATAATCATCATTTACTGAAGCAGAGAAAATTTTTTTTAATCTAAAATAGCTATATATTTTAGAAATATTTTCAGTGAATCTTGAAATAAAAAGCATTTTGTGGAATTAATTTTTATATCACCAAAAGATGTAATTAGCTATTCCTTGTATATCCCCTTTAATTAGTATTGTATCTAGCAAATCAATTGTATAAATTTTCATATAGCATAATTCAGTAACACTCCTTATATATAAAAGAGCAAATATTTTTCTTACTTTTGAAGACCATAAGTAAAAGGAAGATACTATGTTACACTCTCATTTCTTATTTTGCATTTGGTTTAGATTAGCCTAACAGTAGCTGTAAAGCCTGTTGGGTTGGCTGCCAGTAACGAATACCTCACAATCCCCTTCTTAAATATGATACACTGTTGTAATTGATGGAATATTCCTATCGAAAGAAACTTGTGCAGTTGTGTGGCAGTCTTAAATATAATGTGTTCAAAATGTGACATTACATTATTATGTTTTATGTCACAAACACTTTAGGGAATGACAATATTCTATACTTGAAATGATACCTTTAATGTGGCCAGAACAATATAGTTTATGTAGTAAGAGGAGAGACATGAAAGACATCTATCTCATTTAGGACCTAAAAAAGAGTTTATTAAAATATATTTGTTAATCAGTCCTCTCCTTTTAAACCATCTTTGAAAACTATTTCAGATTCTTTTGCTTCGTTAAAAGGAGAAAAAAATTATTTCAACAATCTAGAGTGCTCTGATTTTAAAACATTAAAGTTGAAATCTAAAAGCATTTCAGGAGTTAACTGATTTTGAATGTAATGAGTCCACGTTAAATAGATTTGATCTCTCCAAATTTAATTTTTTCTTCTGTTTCTTTATAAATAGGGACTACAAGGACAATATTAAAAAAGTTGATGATGGAGTCAAAGAAATCGTGTCTATGTTTAACCATTTCTATGGAAATGATGGGAAAACAACATTTATCTTTACCTCTGACCATGGAATGACAGACTGGGGTTAGTGTGTCTTTAATTGATATGTACCTTACTATTAAAGTAGCGATAAATGTAGCTTGCAAATATTTTATGATAATGAGAAACTTAGGTGTCTTGCTTATACAGAGTGCCTACCACATAATTATGTGCTTAAAATGTTAGCCTAAAAAACAACTGATCTTATATAAAAGTATTTTCTCTAACTAAAAGCGAATGTATTCTCATTTACAAATGAGAATAGAGAAAAATGGAGAAGTAAATAAAAAATGACTATTATTTATCTACTGAGAATTAACTGTATATGATGGCAAAGGGACTAATGTTAAGATGGTATTACTGAGGGACCGAGGGCTGCTAGAATTCTGTCCCAGATAAACCTGTGCACCCTGTGAGATTCCCAAGGCAAATGCAGTGTGTGCACAGAGAACAAAATAAAGCAAAGACGAGATTTGTCCCCAAATCATAATATGGATTTCTAGCGAGTTGAGTTCCACTTTATAAAGGACTTCTTTTGGCTACACCTGCTAGAGTGGTCTGGAAGAAAATGACCCAGAGACCTTGCCATCCTCTCCAGAACTCTCTACTGCTTGCCCCAAGCTTGGGTAGTAACCGAAGGAGCTCTCTGTTCTTTCTGTCTGCAGTGCTACTCTGGCAGCAGCAACATTTCTTCCATGTCTTTTTGTTATTTTATTCTTTTAACCATAGTTACTCAGCAGGCGTTCTGATGTTTTGTTTTAGTTTTTGCCGGTTTGTTGTTGCTCTAACTTGCTGTATATGAATATTGTCAAACTAATTGTCATAAAAGATTGTAACCATTTGGTAATGTAGCAACTAGAATTAACTATATATGGACCAACTCTAAGACAAACTATTTTTAAAAACATGTAGTTGTAAGTTAGTTCTTCTATATTTGTCTTATTAGTCTTGGTATCTTATTTGTAGGTTCCCATGGGGCTGGTCATCCTTCAGAGACTTTAACTCCTTTAGTCACTTGGGGAGCTGGAATCAAGTATCCCCAAAGAGTATCAGCTCAGCAATTTGATGATGCATTTTTGAAAGGTACAAGCATTTCTTTACTGTGTTTATAAATACAACCTCTTAATATAAGAACAAAATTTAATTTTTTAAGAAATCACTTTTCAAGTTTTAGTTGTAAATCTCTCATTTTCACATTTGTGCCATTACTATTTCTATGCAAACACTACAAGGGGTTGTTGGTTTTTCTCTTCTCACAGAGCCACTTGTTGAACGCTTCCCAGCACACCACTGCTAGTAACTAGACCTTTCTAAAGTCTAAACTGATCAGCTGAACTTTCAGTGTTCTTTTATTAATTTATTAATTAATTTGAATGTGAGGTAGAGTAAATAAAAAATAAGAGGAAATGTAAGGTTTCTTTGAAGTAAATAATAAATTTGATTTAGATTTTTCAACCCAAACAAAGTACATACTATCAGTTATAAAATCACAGTACCTACAAGATATATCCATTAGATAAAAAGCAAGAGGTAGGTAGTATTGAGATATTTCAACCCTAGGCCCTGATGAAGACAGAAGAGCACAGTGAATAATGTACTCAATAGCATGTGTGCAGTAAGTAATCGTGCATTTTTCAGAGGGTGATTTCTCATATGTTTGTCAGTGCTAATGGAGAGCATCTTGCCAAATCACAGGTCTACAGAGGAGTCATTGACAAAGGGCCAGAACAGTGCAACCAGTTCATGGTCATGATTGTTTCCAGATTTATTTAAGCATGAAAGAAAAAGAAACTAGAGAACCCTTTTGTTCATCTACTACATATCTTTGAGATAGCCCTTCCTTGCTTTTTCAGAACTTAATATTCTAGTAGGAGAATTAAAGCAATTACAAACAAAGCTTACAGATTATGAAAATTTTATGAAGAATATTAGGGTGATGTGATAAAGGAGGAGGCAGGACCAGGCTCCCTTCTCCACCCTGCCCTGCTGAGTTTTCTTAGGCACAGGTTCTTGTGGTGTCTCTAAAGGAATGGAATGGACTTGAAATGTAGTAGCTATTCACAGGTTCACAGGCCAATCGTAGCTCACTATAGCCTAGAATTCCTGGGCTCAAGCAATCTTCCTGCCTCAGCCTCCCAAGTAGCTGGAACCACAGGTGTGTACCACACCTGACTAGTCCCCCACATTTTTTTAAGAGACTTGGCAAAGGAGGCAAAGTGCATTAGTTTTTAAATGTATAACTTTATGAATTTTACATGCATATATACGCCATGTAATCTCCACCCAAATTCGCCATGCTTTTGCAGTAACCTAGAAGTTTCCCTTGTGGAGTAGGATACATTTTGTAGAGTGGGCTAACAGTATGTCTCTTCACAGTTAGGATAAGAGGGAGCCATTCATATGAAGGTTAGGGCAGGAATGTTCCAGGCAGAGGGAATAGCAAATGCAGAGGCAAGAAATAGAAAGAGCTTAGCTCGTTCGAGGAACAGAATTGGAAGGCTGATATGGCTGGGCACTGTCAGCTAGGAGCAGAGTACAATGAGTTGAGAGGTTGGTGAGGTAAACAAGAGGTAGATCATTTGAGGCACCAAAGCCCGGGTAAGGAAAGCATGAAGTGTGTTCTGAGGACAGTGCTCTATTGCTAAAGACTGTAAGGCAGAGCATTGCCAGCATTCGTTTGCTGTATGAGCTACAGAACTTTCTAAATGCTCTGTGATAAATGGATGAGATTGGATCAAAATAGAAAGTACGGTATGTTTGTACTTAGGAGAAAACAGTATGTTTGTACTTAAAAGATTTGGGCCGGGCGCGGTGGCTCAAGCCTGTAATCCCAGCACTTTGGGAGGCCGAGACAGGTGGATCACGAGGTTGAGAGATCGAGACCATCCTGGTCAACATGGTGAAACCCCGTCTCTACTAAAAATACAAAAAAATAGCTGGGCGTGGTGACGCGTGCCTGTAATCCCAGCTACTTAGGAGGCTGAGGCAGGAGAATTGCCTGAACCCAGGAGGCGGAGGTTGCGGTGAGCCGAGATCGCGCCATTGCACTCCAGCCTGGGTAACAAGAGCGAAACTCCGTCTCCAAAAAAAAAAAAAAAAAAAGATTTAACTTTATTTTGGCATTTGATTTCTTAAATTGATGTTTTAGAATCACATTATTTCAAGAATCATCACAGAAGAAATGTATTTTTTCTCATGAGTATTAAATAGCATACATTTTAGAGGAAGGGAATATGTATTTTTTCATCAACTGATTAGTGTGACTTTTTGGCAGCTGACTGACAGAGTCAGCAACATATTTTTAAACTTTAATTAGCTTATTGAATGAAATTTTATCATAAAAATATCTTATAACTCTTTTGGTAGTATATCCTAAAGCCATTAAATCAAGACTTGGTCTCCCATAATCACTTGTTTTGATTTCTGTTTAATGCAATTTCTGAGTTTATCTATAGAAAGACAGGAGATTGAGGCTCTCTTTAAGGCAGTTTTTTTGTTTTGTTTTGTTTTGTTTTGTTTTTTTGAGACAGAGTTTCGCTCTTGTTACCCAGGCTGGAGTGCAATGGCGCGATCTCGGCTCACCGCAACCTCCGCCTCCTGGGCTCAGGCAATTCTCCTGCCTCAGCCTCCTGAGTAACTGGGATTACAGGCATGTGCCATATGCCCAGCTAATTTTTTTTTGTATTTTTAGTAGAGACGGGGTTTCACCATGTTGACCAGGATGGTCTCGATCTCTTGACCTCGTGATCCACCTGCCTCGGCCTCCCAAAGTGCTGGGATTACAGGCTTGAGCCACTGCGCCTGGCCTGAAGGCAGTTTTAATAATAACTCAGTATACTCTGTTAACATTTGTGATCAGCAACTACAGGAATATCACAACTACAGTTTTAAGTGTTTTGGAAGCAACTGCCATCACAGAAAAAAAGAGAAGCTTGAATTAATTAACTTCCTATTAATTGCCTTAATAACTCTCTAGAACAGTAATGAGTTGTCAATGCTGACAGTTGTTACCATTGTTCTTTTTTACTTCCATCTTCCTTAGCCTCTGATGTTTTGAAACAATTATCTCCAAATGAGCATTTAAAAAGCTTAATAAATCATCATAGGAAACACCAAATATTTACTTTTTGGTTATTTTTTTAGAAAATTCTTTAAAAAAATACACCTTTGCCTTCAAGCATGATTTTTATTCATTGGCTTAAAGTATACATTTCTAATACCTATGTTTTCCATAAATATTGACCACTCCTAAAAATAAAATGATTTACTCTTTTTTAAATCTTAACATCAAATCTTGTGTCTGATTGTATCTTTCAGAGTGGAGATTGGAGAACTGGAAGAGGCTAGATGTCAATCAGGTATCATTTTTGTTTTAGTTACATTCAAATTTAATTTTGTCTTCTATAAGAGGTTTAGACAAAAACTATGAAAGATAGACAATGTTGACAAAGTCTTTTTCAAAATATTTCGGTTACTAAAGGGAATTCTTTTAGCACAAATATTTTAGCCCAACTAATCTCTCTTCTGGCAAAATAAACAAAACTTCAAGTGAAAATAAAAGACTTCTAAATAACACTGGATAATTATTTGTTATGTAAATTGAAATTTACATGCCTGTTAAATTTCTGTGGTTGCTTACCGTGGTTGTATTGCTTTCTTTAAGCACAGATCTATTAAAGCTCCCATTATGGGTTTATTTTCTATAGTATGTCAGTTATCTTTTCTTCTTTGTTAACACATATTTTACCTTTACTTCTAATCAGCAGCTTTACAAATGCAATGGATAAAGAAGTGATGAGAGTATAAATTACTCAGCTAGAAACCTTCCGTAGAGGAAAATGTATAGCCAATCTGATAAAGTTAGACTAGTAGCATTGTATTTAAATATGAAGCACAGAATTGTCATCTTCACTACTTGTAGAAGGTATAGCATCATCCGAATATGGCTTCCAAAGTGGCAGGACTGTGTCTTGCCTTCCAGGTCACCACACAAGCTAAGATTCCCTACTGTGGTGGACAAACCAAGGTCTAGAGTCTCACTTTCAGGCCTATGGTTGCAGAAAATTGTTGCTTCTCAGCATAATAAGAATAGTCTTCTCCCAGGATAGATGCATATTACCCAAGTAAATGAACGTGAACATATAAAGTCAGAATAGCAATTTATTAATTTGCAATTAAAAATCACTGTCAAAAAAACAGGAATGACTTGAAGATCACAAAACAAGAATAACTCTCATTCATAGCCAGACTAGATCATAATCAGCAATTGAATGTAGATTCAGTTATTGTTCTCTGAACTGTCAGTCTGTTGACAAACACTCCTGCTTCACATCTGCATCAAATGAGAATCTCTTCTATTCCTTCCTTCTACTAACACAGTGTTGTGTCTGTGGCGTGTTTCACCTCTGTACTAAGCATAAAGATTTAGTGGTGAGTAAAGGCAGACATAATCCCTGTCCTGGGAAGTTTACATTTTAGGGGTAAGAACAGATATGAATCAGTCTATTGTACAAATACATGTAAACTTGTAGCTGTGGTAATTACTACAAAAGAGATTCGTGCAGCTATAAAGTGGATGTATTCAGCAAAGGTTTCCTGAAAAGTTGAGGATTGAACTGAGATTGATGAATTAGTAGGCCAAGGCAGTAGGAGGAGGGCTTTTCAGGTAGAGGAAGTATGTGCATCAAGTCCTGGTGAGAGGGTACATGGTGTATTAAAGGGTCTTGAAGAAAGCCGTTATACAACAGAAACCATGAGGTGGTGTGAGGCAGAAGTGGGGCACAGACCCTTCAGGGTCTAATGGGCCTTGTGAACTGAATTCTGAAAGCTTGAAGAATCCTTAAAGAGTTTGAAGCCTAGAGAGTGACACGATCTGTGTTTTTGTGTGTGAAACAATCCTCCTGGCTGCAGCATGGAGAACAGGTAAGAGGTGGCCAACAGCAGATTCTGAGAGAAAGGGAAAAGGTGACTAGAAGGACTTCGGAGATTTCCAGTTTTCTGGAGGGTGGTACTTGGTAATGACGGTCTAAATAGTAGCAAGTGAGAAAGATTGAGAGCCTGGGAACAAATTTGGTGAATTCCAACTTGAAGTGCGTGACTAGAGAACGTATCTGAAAAGGAGGAGCCAGTGAAATCAAAGAAACTCAGCTTTGGCGTGTTGAGTCTAAGAAAGGAGTGGCCTATGCCATATTGCTGAGAGGTCTAAGAATGCCAGCAACAATTGCAGCTACCATTATCACGGCTTATTTTGTGTCAGGTAGTTCATAAGTTTTATCTCATTTAATCTGACCGTTAACTCTGTAAGGGAAAATCTTGTATTTGTTTTTTTAACAGATAAAAAAATTGAACAATTGGAGGGTTAAAAAATCTGTCTGAGAATTTGAAACTGGGCATTCTGAATTCCAAGCACTTTATTGCCTGAAAAATTATAAGGACTAATATAAACAGTCAATTAGATTTAGAAAAAGGGTCAAAGTGAATTACTGTGGGCAGAGGAGTGATAGGGAGATGAGAAAATGAAGACAGAAAAATCATGGACAACTCTTCAGAGAAACTGAACTTGAAGGGGAGATATCCAAAATGGTATTTGGGATCTTTCAACTAGAGTATCTTCTGTAGTTTATGTCTTTTCTGGACATCAGTGGCTGGTGAAACCTTCTGATAGATACTTTGTTTTTCTAGTTAATATATACATTTCTCCAGCTAAAGTCTACTCTTGATACTCATTTTATATCTAGATAAGGCATTCTTTTTGTAACACTGAAAAACTTACGTAAAGTGGTCAGATTCTTAGAATAGGATAAGTATTTTTTTGTTTTACTTATGGCTTTTAGTAGTTTCTTTTCAAAATTTTTCTTTATAGGTTGATAAACCTCTAGCAAATGACACTTTTAGAGATTAATATCTTTTTGGATTAAATAAATGTTTGAAGGTAACTCATTATAACAAGTATTATGGCTATATTCCAAAATATGGTTGCATTAAATTATTTAATTTCTTTCTTCATGTCCATAGACCTCTTATAATTGAGCTTTTTTATTTGTAGGCTGATATTGCACCATTGATGACTTCCCTTATTGGAGTTCCCTTTCCTCTTAATTCAGTGGTAAGGAATAAAATTTTATTATCAACTCTCAGTATATTTACATTTAGCACAGTAAAGTGTAGTCTTTTTTATGTGTTTCTGAATTATCTTTTTTTTTTTTTTTTTTTGAAACGGGCTCTTTCTCTGTTGCCCAGGCTGGTCTTGACCTTCTGAGCTCAAGCAGTCCTCCCATCTCAGCCTCCCAAGTGGGTGGGATTACAAGCATGCACCACTGCTTCCAGCTTATATAATCTTTGATTATATTTAAAACTATATATTCCTGTATATTTATATCTAAATATGCAATACCTCATAATTGCTTGTGTATTATATTTTATAACAAGGAACATGAGCCAAATAGCTTTTCTTTAAATATTTTAATTTTCTAAAACGTATACAATTTATATTTTTGTATTCTGGTTATAAGTGATAGAAATATATAGTAATATTTTTTTGTTACAAGCAGCAAAAACTGAGTTTGTTTAAAGGGAAATTACTGAAAAGATATTAGTGATTTGCTGAAACAAAGTGGTGCTTGAAAACCAGGCTTGGAAATAATCAGGAACCAGGAGATCTGAAGACTTGAAAGAAGGAGCCACAGCCATGATCCCATGACAAGGCTGTTCTCAGGGCAGTGACATGAGGGTAGAGTAGCATTGTTCCTTAGTTTCTGGCCCTTGACTGTCAAGAGTCAAATTCCAGGTGGTCTAGCCCGGGTTATAATTAGCAGTCCCTGGATTATAAACCTAACATGCTGTATCTAATGGGCAAGATTTCGCAACAGAAAATCACAATGCTGTTAAGAATGGGCCCTGGATACTGAAATGCTGAAAAACAAATACTTCAACTGGCGACTTGCTCTTCAAAATCAAATGTACTCTTAAAAAACAGTGTTATTTAACTCAGAATGCTGAGTAATATGACCCCGACAGTCATAGTGTGTGTGTGTGTGTGTGTGTGTGTGTGTATATAACGATACAAAAGTTTAACAGAATAGTCCTTACTCTTACTATGTCTAGTACACTCTGATATGTCTGAAATCTTTTATTTTAAGTGCGCTGGCTGTGGCCCACCATAGTAATTGTTTTTTTGTGTGTGAAGCACTGAGTTCACTGACTAGCACATAGTAATCTCTCAACCAATGCTAGGTGTTACTGAATTTAATTCATCTCTTACTTTGCTTACCTTGGTACATCTACTTTGTGAGAAAAAATAATAGAACATCTTTCAGTTATAGTTTAAAAAAGATTTTTCATTTAACTATTTCAGTTACTTATTTGTCAGTATATGCCTAACCTTTATTGCTTTTTTTTTTTGTAAGAATAACCTGAGCTATGTTAATACTAACAATAAGCTGGTGTTTGTTATTTGCAGGGAATCCTTCCTGTGGATTATCTTAACAACACTGATCTCTTCAAAGCAGAGAGCATTTTTACAAATGCAGTACAGATTCTTGAACAGTTCAAGGTAAAAAAAAAATTTTTTTTAAGGCACACATAAAAATGGACAATACTACAATTTAAAAATTGACTATATTAAGTGAAAATATTTGATTTTGTGTTTTAACTATTTCCTATAATTTCTCTCTTTTTTTTTTTTTTTTTTGAGTTGGAGTTTCTCTCTTGCTACCCAGTCTGGAGTGCAATGGCGTGATCTTGGCTCACTGCAACCTCCGCCTCCTGGGTTCAAGCAATTCTCCTGCCTCAGCCTCCCACGTAGCTGGGATTACAGGCACGCACCACCATGCCCAGCTAATTTTTGTATTTTTAGTAGAGACGGGGTTTCACCATGTTGACCAGGATGGTCTCCATCTCTTGACCTCGTGATCCACCCTCCTTGGCCTCCCAAAGTGCTGGGACTATAGGCGTGAGCGACAGCGCCTGGCCCCTATAATTTATCTTTAAATTTTGTGTATTTGACTTGTGTTTCACATTTCTAAAGTGTAGATTCTGTGGCTCAGTGTGAGGGCATAACATTTATTTGAGGAGTGTCACTGAGTGTAAGATTATCACATATGCTTACAAAGACTACAAGTCATTTTTAGCTGTTAGAATTTGCCTCGTAGAAGTAGTATCGGAGATTGCAACATTTCTTTGTCATTCCATGTACATTATGAAATTCCTTAAGAATTTAAAGACGTGACCCTTTGAATAAAACCTTCTGTTATTCTTAATGCTTTTAAGAATAAGCGGTTTGGCTTGTTTTGTTTTCAGAGTTAAGGAAGTACAGTTTTAATTACATTACAGTATGTTACTTTGCAAGATTGATATGTTTAATTTTCAGCTTATTGAGATAGAAATTATTAAATTTTTCTTTAAATATTTATGAAACAATATAGTAACATAAAATTCCATTTATTTTCAATGTGTTTAACCATCTGTAAAGAATCATTTTAGTGGATGTTTATATTTCAAAATGAAATTCATTAATTTTTTTCTCATTTATAATATTTTCATACTTGGTTCCCAGGTGAAAATGACTCAGAAAAAAGAAGCCACTTTACCATTTTTGTTTACGCCATTTAAGTAAGTCCCTTACATTTTTTTATTAACTTGAAGGAAATAATTTTTCACTGAGTGATAGGATTAGTTTACTTATACAGTTTGCCTTTTTGTATGCATTAGCGTAAACTCCAAATTGAAATCCTCTTCTATGACTGTTGTTAAATAATGAGCCGGGTGCTAGATGCCTTTGAATGGGTGGAAGAGGGGATGGGGGAATGGAGAGATCTATGAGAAATATTAAGGAGGTGAACTCCACAGGGCTTGATGTGTTGGCTAGGAAGGTGTGGGGGCAGGAAAGAGTGTGACTTTCTGGTTCTTGGCTTGGTTGATTAGGAAGAGGCTGGTAACCTATGGCTTACTGAAAGAAGAACTAGTTTAAGAGACAAAGATGAATGTTACTAAATTCAACTTACATTTGAAGATATCAGTTAATTAATTAGAAAGATGGGCTTGAATCTCAGAAGATATGTGTTGCTTGTGAAGATTTTGGAGACATGAGAATAAAGATAGGCTGGGCGTGGTGGCTCATGCCTGTAATCCCAGCATTTTGAGAGACTGAGGCCGACAGATCTCTTGAGCTCAGTAGTTCGAGACCAGCCTGGGCAACATGGTGAAATCTCATCTCTACTAAAAATATAAAAATTAGCCTCACATAGTGGTGCATGCCTGTAGTCCCAGCTACTTGGATGGCAGAGGCAGAAGAATTGCTTGAACCTGAGATGTGGAGGCTGCAGTAAACCAAGATCATGTCACTGCACTCCAGCCTGGGTGACAGAGTGATACCCTGTCTTTAAAAAAAAAAAAAAAAAAAAATGGAATAAAGATTGTGGTGGTGGACTCTGTTACACATGTAGGAGGCTCTAGAATTCTGCGAGATGTCAACTCCTATTGGGTGGGTGTATTAGAGTTCTCTGGAGGGCATAGGTAATAGGGTAGATAAATATATGAAGGGGAGTTTATTAAGGAATATTGACTCACATGATCACAAGGTGATATCCCAGAAAAGGCTGTCTGCAATATGAAGAGCAAGGAAGCCACTCTGAGTCCCAAAACCTCATAAGTAGGGAAGCTGTCAGTGCAGCCTTCAGTCTGTGGCCAAAGGTCCAAGAGTCCCTAGCAAACCACCGGTGTAGGTCCAAGAGTCCAAAAGCTGAAGAATTCGGAGTCCGATGTTCAAGGGCAGGTAGCATTTGACACAGGAGAAAAATGAGGCTGGAAAACTCAGGAAGTCTGTTCATTCCATGTTCTTCTGCCAGCTTTATTCTAGCTGTGCTGGCAGCTAATTTGATGGTGGCCACCCAGATTGAGGGTGGGTCTGCTTCTCCCATTCCACTGACTCAAAAGTTAATCTCCTTTGGCAATACTTTCACAGACACACCCAGGAACAATACTTTGCATCCCTCAATCAAGTTGATACTCAGTATTAACTATCACAATGGGCAAAGAAGAGAGCTGACTATGGTGAGCAGCAGATTTTGCTGTCCCAGGTCCAGGAAGATGTTTTCTTTGAATCAGGAAAGGGAAGATCTGGGTCACAGACCTGACTCTGCACTACTGACTGTATATGTGAGCTTGCATCTCTGAGGTTCATATTCAGTTAGCAAGGATTTTGCTATTGACCAATTAAATAGAAATTGTTTTATGTGATTGAATGACTTCACTGGAATTATTTTTAACAATTTATGTTACACTAGTGTGATATTCATAAATTAGAAAGGTACTCGGGCGCGGTGGCTCACACCTGTAATCCCAGCACTTTGGGAGGCCGAGGAGGGCAGATCACAAGGTCAGCAGTTCAAGACCAGCCTGGTCAATATGGTGAAATCCCGTCTCTACTAAAAATACAAAAATTAGCTGAGTGTGGTGGCTGGTATCTGTAGTTCCAGCTACTCGGGAGGCTGAGGCAGGAGAATCGCTTGAGCCTGGGAGGTGGAGGTTGCGGTAAGCCAAGATCACACCAGTGCACTCCAGCCTGGGTGACAGACAAGAGACTTCATCTCAAAAAAAAAAAGAAAAGAAAAAGGAAGGCATAAATACTGTATTTATTGTATTACCCTCTGAATAATGTAGCTGTATATTTGAGTTTCTATGTGTGTATAGGAGAGTAAAAATAAAATGAAATTAGGATTTTGCAAGTTACAATCATCTAAAATTGATAACTCTAAATGTATCGTTAGGATATTATTTGCATCTCTTATGCTAATTCTAATTTTCTTTTATTGTAGTATAGTAGAATTGAGATTTGTTAATGGAATTGGTTCTGAGGAATATGTAAGTGTTCATACTTTTTTCAAGAAATATTGATTGAATAGTATGTATTTTGTGGATATAGCAGTGAACAGGATAGACAAAGGCTTTGCATTCATAGGGTTTATTTGCATGGTAGAATCACAGGCAAACTATAACCAAATAAAGAAGTGAATAAGAAATGCATTATCAATTCATTTTTCAAGAAAATACACAGGCTGTTGAAAGTGAGAATAAGTGAGGGTTACTTTAGACCAGCCACTTTAGAAAGGCTGGTTAGGGGCCTGGCCAATGTGGTAAAACCCTGTCTTTGCCAAAAAATGCAAAAATGAGCCAGGCATGGTGGCACCTCCCTATAATCCCAGCTACTCGGGAGGCTGAAGCATGAGAATCGCTTGAACCTGGGAGGCAGAGGTTGCAGCAGTGAGCCAAGATCCCACCACTGCACTCCAGCCTGGGCAACAGAGCGAGACTCTGTTTCAAAAAAATACAAGTAAAGAAAAAAGGAAAGGCTGGTTAGGGAAGGACTCTTCAGCAAGGGTTCAGGTAAAACACTGGCCCCACTTTTTCCACTTGGCATGGTAACTGATCATAAACTTCCCCTACTTTGATGTTCAGTGTCTGCCTGCACATACATATTTAGAGGTACTACTAGCTTTTTGTCCTCTGGGGGTCTGGCAGGATGGCTGATTTCCATTTGCTGGCTCACCCACCCTGGAGCATAGTGACCAGCCCTGCCGGTAGACCTGTCGGACTAAAAATCACCACTTGCTAAAAGCCTGCAGTATGACCCAAAAGATCTAAGATAACATGAGAAATGGACTCTTGAAAGCATATGAAATTCAAGGAACAGAACCAAGCCTAAAAACATTAAAATTCTCGAAATATTAAGGAGCTATTGCATCTATGAAACAAAAGCAGCATTAACTTTGCAAAATGCATAAAGGTGTACCAGATGCATTAAAAGTAACTTTTACATTAATAAAATAAATATTTCAAAAGAAGAATGCAGCAAAAAAACTTAAATTATACAAGAATGGTCCAAATGAGAGGCAGATTCTCTAAATTAGAATAGGAAGTGAGTAGACCTCAAGCTAAACAAAATGAATTTTAAGTAATAGATGGATTAGTAAGAAGCTGGAGGAAATTAAGGACATGATAGTATACTTGGAAAGATAGAAAGCATACATTTCTTCATGTGCCTCCTGCCAAGAAGACAATGACAATCAGAAACTTAAAGGAAAAAGAAACATTTCAAACTTTATAAGAAAGTATGCTTCAAATGTAAAGCACCTTCAGATGTGGCATGATTTTGAACAGTTGCTAGGAGTGTGAGAAAGGGAATTCATTTGGGCATTGTCACATGGATCAAGGCGCTAAATAGAGAAGATCTAATTGTAGCATAAAACTTTGTTTTTTAGTAAACAGTATTTAAATAGTCATGATGATATAAATATTAGTTTTCAGCTTTTAGAGCCCAATCCTTGGACAAAGCAGGGAAGAATGAACTATGATTACAGAGTAAAATGCAAATGTTACCAGCCTTGAAAATGTGCAAATGCAATTAACAGGTTGGAAGGCAGAGAGGGAAGGAAATGTACGTGGAATAGTAGCGGTGCTGTTGTCTTCATGAAATGGAATATGGAGAATTTAATCTTTAGTAGAATTAGTCAGAGGTTTAGCTATTAGATTGTTAAAGTAACCAAGGTCGTCAGAAGGGTCGGTAAAAATGTGACATAGCCAAATTGAGTCGGGTGGAGAGCCAGACACAACAGGGAGTCAACAAAAAGTACCCCGTCATCAAGTCAAGAAATAGTAGGAAGAGCATGTTTTTTATAAATGCAGGCAACTACCAGAATAACTAAAAACAAACACATGTAAAAGTTCTTGGTCTGTGTTGGTGAACTAAGAAATGAAAAAGAATTATTATGCCATTGTGTACTGTTTGATTTTTTAAAAAATACGTGCATATGTTGCTTTGATAAAATATTTTTAAAAATACAATTATCAAAATAAATAGATATTCTAATCATTGGCACAAGGTCAGTAGAATATGTAATTGGAAAAAGATACTATTCATAATAGAAATAGAATACCCAGCAATAAAATAATGAGAAATATATACATTGTAGAGAAAGCTATCAAATTTTATTAAGGACAGAAGAGACAATGTAAATAAACAAATGTTGGATAGTACTGTTTAGTATTATAAAAATGTCGATTCTCTCCACATTATTTACTGAATATAGTATTACAACAAAAGGATTTTTGTATAACTCAAAAACATAATTTTAAAATTTACACCAAAAATAAATTCTCAAGAATAGTGTAACTAGTGTTGAGAAAGAAAACAAGATAAGAGATTTGCTCTGCTAGGCAACAAAACACATTCTAAAGCTATTATAACTATTTAAAAATGTAGTATTGGTGCAGGCTAATCATATGGATTAGTGGAACTGATTAGTTTGTACATAAAGAGACAAGATTCACTTGTCTATAACACACTTTGACTTATGATGGGGTTACGTCCCAATAAACCAACTAAGTTGAAAATATTGTAAGTGCAAAATGGATTGAATACACCTAACCTACTGAACATCATAGCTTAGTCTAGCTTACCTTAAATGTGCTCATAACACTTGCATTAGCCTACAGTTGGTCAAAACCATCAAACATAAAGCCTATTATATAATAAAGTATTGAATATCTCATGTAATTTATTGAATACTGTATTGAAAATGAAAAACAAGATGATTGTGTGGATACTCAAAGTA